CAGTGAAGGATAATTGGTGGGTGGGTTTTGAAAAACTCTAGCCTTTTGAATGTTGTTTCCTAATGAACACCCTGAATTGCAAAGCAGGAACAGGTATAATATTAGGCTCAAACCCTGAGTGTTAGCTTGGTATACATAGGTTTACCAAGAAAAAAGGTTTGAATCCAGGTAATTAACACTAAATTCTTTGATTTACAGGATGTGGGAATTTAATTATTTAATACTTTATTTTTCTTAGCCCTGATTGGTAAGGATTAAAATATCGATATGTTCAATACCCTCAAGTGGATATCGGTGCGTGTTGATGATATGATTGGTACCTTTTTTATTTTATTTTTTTTAATTTTATAGATTTGAGAGGATCCTCACCCATTATTTTTTAAAGTTTTAAATATTTTAAGAAACCTTATATTAGTGTATTCTTGCATATCTTGATGCATCGGTTAAGAAGTGGTAGAAATTAAAGCTTTAAGTTGTTGGTAGAAAAACTTCAACCCTCAAATTTGGCATTGGTCCAGCTCAAAATAAGAAAATAGGGGAAAAGAAATTAAATAATACCACAACAGCAGGCTGCTACTATAAACATAAAATATAAATTAAGTTCTCATAAAACATTCTTATCAGGCTTATGAGTTAAATGGATGAATGATAGAGCCAGTTGTTATTCTATACCGATCGAGATCCTTGGGTTTGCAACGTTAGGAAATAAAAGTATAATAATTCATTCTCTTAATTTGCATTGCATTTTATTTTAGGTAAATTGTAAATTAGTACTCTGTACTTTCATTTTTGGGGTTAATTTGATTTAGTACTTAAATTTTAAAATGTGCCACTGTAGTACCTAAATTCTTGAAATCTGTTAGTTTAGTCCAAAATTGTTAATCGGCGTTATGTTTAAATCCCTTTTCATTGCAATTGGGCACTACTGTTTACTTTATGCCCTAACCTTTCTCTCAAAGAACCAGTGTTTTTCGTTAGAGAAGTTACATGAAAAAGCGTTGGAGAAGACAATGCCGTTGCTGAAGAAGAAGGATTTAGACCACCATTCTTGCCAGAGAAGACAAGTAATTCTTGTCGTTGCTAGCGAAGAAAATCAAGGTAAAATGATCTCAAAAATATTAAAAAGGGTAGTCTTTACATTTTTTAAAAAATTAAGTCAAGCATGTTGTTACATGATACAAATAACTGACAAATTGTTAATGATAAATACTAAATTGACACTTCTTGGTAATTCAACTATATTACAGTGGCATGTTTTGAACTTTAGGTATTAAGTGAGACTAACCCCAAAGTATAAGGTATTAATCTGCAATTTAAAATAGATCCAAATTAAAATTAGCAGTGCAACATTCAACAAACTTTTCTAAAAATAGAGACCGACAAAGTGGGGATCCCAGCCCAGCTTCCCCAGGAGGGGATTTGATGTCCATTCATCACTTTGACAAAGAAACTCTTCATTTGTAATCCTTACCACAATATATATCTTCTATTCTTTCTATCTTGGGGTCCTAGTAAAACCTGGTTTGATGTAGGGATGTCAATTGGACTGGATTTGGTCCAATCCGATCCAGTCCAATGTGAGTCCATTACAAATGGATCTGGTCCAATCCAGTCCAATGAATACTTTGGACCATTCTAGATCGGTCCAAAGACTGTCCAATCTGTTCAAATTCCTATTAATTTAGATTGGTTTCAACTCAAACCTGGTCCATTTACACCTATGTTATTATCTTCTATCAATGGACCAGATATTGGCTCAATCCAATATAAATTCATTATGGACGGACCAGGTCCAATCCAATATGTCATATTGGTTTATCCAGTCCGTCCAAATTCAATATGTCTCGTTGGCCCGTTCAATCCATCCAAATTGATTTTGATTTAGATGGAGTCCAACCCAAAACTGGTCCATTGACACCCCTAATTTGATGTTCATGAGCCTTTCTTTAACATAGTTTGCATTTGTCTCTTTGCTTTCAGCCTCACCAGTTCTGATAGTATTCTGTGTTATTACTAGTATCACAACGACATACCTCCTCGACCTCAGATCAGAACTTCTACATGCTAGCATCACACAAGTGTCTGGTATACATGGTTCAAGTTGAAGGTCCCATTTATATTTCCAGAAGTCATTTATTTGGGTAAATACACTTACCCATATAACATATTTATACGGTTAAGTGCATTTATCCATTTTATTTTATTTTCTAGGTAAATAAGATAATGACTATTTTAGCCATAAAAAACCATTATTAAAATGTGCAATTTTGTTCCATCAAGTGTTGACAACTTTCCCTCAGGTGAGAGTTACCCACCTAGTAGATGTGTATACCTAGGAGAAATGAAATTTTCATGAACCCCACATAAATCTGAAAAAGGAATATAGGTATCTTGTTCAATAGGAACCAAAATCCCATTAACCAACTTTCCCTCTTCTCAAAATCCGAAAAAAGAAAAGGCCTGAAAACAAACTAATAACCAGCAAAAAGGGAAAAATGCTTAATGCAATGTCAATATGTCATCGGATTGGGTGAAAATGACCTTGTTTTGGTGTCAATGAAACTGTATGGCTAGGTACATATTGGTTTGTGTAAGTAGGTCGATACTCGTTAAGCTACGTTTGATTGTAGTGCAATTTTATTTGCACTAGTACAAATGCATGGGAGTGCAAATGAAAAAAATGCAAATTCTTATTTAATTTGGTTTTGGGTTTTACTTTATTCAGCTTCATATCTTAGGCTGTGTTTGGTTGCAATGCAAATAAATTTGCACTGATGTATTGTGGCAGTGCAAATGATTTAAGTGTAAATTCTGACCTATTTTTGTTTCAAAATTTAGCTTATTATGTTTAATTGCATTACAAATGAAGTAAATTAAGACATGAAGCAGAACAAAGTAAAACCCAAAACAAAATTGAATGAGAATTTGCATTTTTTTTCATTTGCACTCCCATGTATTTGTACTAGTAGAAATAAAATTGCACAGAAACCAAACACAGCCTTAATTTACTTCATTTGTACTACAATCAAACAATATAAGATAAAATTTGTAACAAAAATAGATCAGAATTTACACTCAAATCATTTGCACTGCCATGGTTTAATTTTTTTGCATTGCAACCAAACACAGCCTTAATACCATGCAAGAAATATGATCTAAAGAGAAAACTCCTACAGCTCTTTATGAGAAAAATAACATTTGAAATTGAACTTTTTTAATATATATCTAAGTCGATTTGAGCATTAGATTTTCAACTAACAAGGAAAACTTGTGTTTTCTTCTGCTGTTTTTTATTCATTCCTTCAAGTTTCAGTAGATTTATATGGTTGGATGCCTGAAATACATAGATATATTTTACAAATATATTGAGCCCTTATTGAAACTGTGATGTTTTTATTCATTCCTTCAAGTTTCAGTAGATTTCTATTCTTCCTCCCCCTCATTTCTTCTTCCTCCACCTCTTCTTCCAAATCTTTGTCTAGCCAAACAAAGCTTGGAATCCACCCCTTCTTCTTCTTCTTCTTCTTCTTCTTCTTCTTCTTCTTCTTCTTCTAAATCTATATCGTTGCCACTTGACCTGTTCATGGGCTAGTCCGGGCCAAGTTCGGGCCAGACTTTTGTCTTTGTATTAACAGAATATACTTAGGCCTGAGCCCAGCTCGACCATCAGGCCTAGGTCTTGACTCTTGAACCCGAGGTTGGCCCTTATATAAAACCCGAAACTTGGGCTCGAGCCCGAGCCTGAGCCTGCTAGCTTGAAATCCTATCCAAGCCCAATATAAATCGGGCCAAGCCAGGCCAGCCCATCATGTTACCTGGCCCATGAATAGGTCTAGTTGCCACTGTGAATAGGGGCAAAACTGAATTTTTTTTACCAATTCTAATTCTGACTTTTAATTGAACCAAATAGTAACAATCGGAATCCAATCCCAATTATTGTCTAAACCAAACATGTATCCAGAATAGGTGATTCTGATTCTGATTCTTGTAGATTTCAATTCCAATTCCGATCTTGACCATGAACTAGACAGACAGACCCTATGTTTTGTGAAAAATCTGGAGAGCCAAATTGGCTGTCGATCAGCCAGTTGAAGGGCTGTTCACTTCGGCCTCTTTGAATACCTTATGCAAAACGCCTTGTCAAGATTGTTCGAATTCTGGTTTCTTTGGACAATTAAGCTATTTGTTAAGAAATAAAGCTTATTTTATTTCTGCAACTGAACCAGAACAGCTGAACCAAAGCTTATCTTCAACTCAGCCCGGGCGAAGGGATCACATCTGTTGGGACCGTCCATGGAGCAGTTCTTCCTTGCGATCCCCAAATAAATAAGGACAAACCAACAATGAAAATTTGAAAAGAAAAAAAAAATTCTTTGGTAGAAGATCATGCAATGTTTTAAATTTTAACAAATTGAAGCAGACTTGAACTCTCGGTCTCAAATGGAGGGATCAGGCATGCCAATCACCTCAACAGTTCAACTACAAGATCGTTGGTTGTTTTGTTTAATAAGAAGTAAAATATATGCTTCACAGTTTCACAAACTTTTCAAAATATTCAGTTCGCTTAAAGCCCTAAAGATAGTGCAAATATTACAATGGCTGAATAGCCCTTGTTTTTCAAAAATAATTAATGAAACCCAGTTGGTATTTGGTAAGAAACCTAAAGATCTGTAACAAAAGGGAACAGATATGTTCAAAATACCATTGTCATTATCTCTATAAATAAAACTATCAATTAATTAAAAAGAACAATAAGAAAAAACAACAATAAATCCAAATTGTTTTCTTAGCTTTTGACATTTCTCGCGGATATACGTAGAAACAACGACGCAAAACAACCAAAAAAAATAAAGACCAAAGATGGACCTCTTCAGACCACAATGATATTATAGTTCTGGTTGGAGATTTAACTCTTTGTTCCATTACCGTTGCTGCTGAATGAAATTTATTCTTTCTACCTTAACCATCTCAAGATTCACTCTCAGCCTAAATATCTGAGAGATTTGAAGGTCTGGCAATTGTTTTTATCTTAGAGAAGGTAAGAAACTATAGACATTGGTGAAGACCCCTTTTATCAATAACAATTGTTTCCAATAAATAGCTAACAAGGAAAAAGAAAACCAAAGTTTGCACCAACTAGCTCAATTGCCATGCATAACAACCTACCTCCTTTAATTCCACTTTGTTGTTTGGTAAATGCTGGGTCGATTGGTCTTTTTGAGCATCTTATCTGCAGCTTCTGCCTTTGAAAAGCTCCAAAAACTCTCAACCATTCTGCAACCAAGAGTAATCCATATTCCTACTTACTTTTAAGTGTCATGCCATAGGAAGAATAGCCAACTCAATACCATCAACATCTGCAGCTTCTGCCTTTGAAAATCTCCAATAACTCTCAACTATTCTGCAACCAGGATAAATCCATATTCCAAGTGTCATGACATAGGAAGAATAGCCAACTCAATAACATCAACGTTTGCAGATCTTGTGTCTTTTCTAGCATATCTCATATACCTGCAAAATCCAAATCTTGTCAGAGAACTCATAAGCTGTAGATATTCTTGGTTGGCGATGACAACATTGGTTTGTAGCCACCAACCGCCACCATTTTAAGATGTTAAAAACTCTCATTGTCCCACTTATTATTCTGTTTCCCCTTGTATGGTTCTCATCCTGCTTTCCTTGACAATTAATTATAACCTGGAAGTGTCTCTTCAGATGGTACACAAGAAAGAAGAAACAATTTCATGTTTCTACAAGTTTCACCAAGCATTCAATTTGACCCCACCGAGGTATCAAATACAGCCTTGTAAGAACCATTTGATCAACACATTTTGCAACATCACTACAAGCTTTTATCGAGAAACCATTATCTGTATTATTTAAGCTCCTAGCTATTAGCAAATTTTACAAAGAAAATAGACATCTATCTAGTTACAGGCAGAGGCTCCTACTTTACACTGTTCAATATCATAAAACTCCAAAATACAAAAACAATGTACAGAAATACCATGTACATAGCATTAGCCCAAGTAAATGCAGAAAGAGAGAGATCCAAACTATGGGAAAAAGGGTAAGGCTTAGGCTCCATTTACCCTGCATCCACAATTTAAACATAGTGTAGAACCAAATGGGGAGTTTTGAAATTCAAGCAAAGATAACTTGCCAAAATTAAGCAAGTTGGATGATCCTAACAATGGATGTACATTCTCTTGAATGACCCAAGTATGAGAGTTTATTTAGAGAGGAAATGGAATTTTAAGCTGTGTGATGTGGGGGGTGAAAGATCTAAGATGCTGAGTTGTAGATGAACTACTTAAGCTTCAAACCAAAAGCTATCAAGGCCATTACTCAACTTATGACCGGAATTTGAGAGGTTGGAGTAGTGCCAAGTATGAAAAAATATCAAATTACTTGCACAATCAAGATTTCATCATCCAAACATCAATTGGGAGCTCTACAAAATCTTTACAAACATCTGATAGGTTTATGATAGGATTCTTTTTTTTTTATTGCTTTTAATTTTTAAATTCCGAATTTGTTATTTACTATCTATTTTGATTGGATTTAGTTCTTTCTTTTATCAGAAATTCATGCCAATATGTAATGGGATCAAATGGAATCTCACTGGATGGGCTATATAAAATAGAATAGTTCATATTACACCAAAGACCATCCTACTGAAAATTGGTGGAAGAGCCTAGCCACCTTTGGATTTTCATATGTGATATATCTATGAGGTATTCACTTCCTCTCTGAGATTCCAACCTACTTTATTTTGATGGTAAGACAACTTCAATGTAAATGGTCAAGAACTCAGAACAGGGTCACTTGGTGTTTCCACGGCTAGAAGGGTGGAGACTGTTAAAATGGGTTGCCAGGAAGTTGTTTGTTTGGCTTGATTTAAGAACAGAGTCACTTGTTGTTTGTTTGCCAGGTGACTGTTAAATGGGTTGTTGTTTGTTTGTTTGCCACTTGGTGTTTCAGCAAGTTTGAAGGTTTCAGAGAGTGTTTTCTATTCAAGCTGTGAATGAACCATTGTGATATTGAGAGAATATAACTATCTGAATAATTACGGGATGATTGAAATTTAGAGGTGTACTTTTCTCAACTTCAGTTACTCTGTTTTTTATGCTCATCCTCATTACGTAGGTTTGCGTGGTCATAGAACCCCTATCAACTCAGGACAGCAAAATTGGACAAACAAATTCCTGATCGTTTTTTTTTTCTAGTTTCATTATTAATCATCAAAAGTTATATGTAAAGCTTGTAAAGTATTCAAAATTCAAACAGCATATAATCACTGCCATAGGAGAGTAACTTCAAATGATCTATAACTTTAATATGTTGAAGGTCTAAAGGTAACAACCCTGCAACATGAGGGGCAAATAACACCATTGATCATCCACTGAAACAGTTTCCAGACTAGGCACAGCAGGTAATTTGAAAATAGCATGGATGTACTTAAGTAACTTTGCCATCAGCTGTATGAATCACTCCCTCATACCCACCCCCTCTTATCTGATGTTATCTGATGTTCTTTCTTGGATTGAGCACACTTGTCTAAGTGTTTTATACATGGTTAGGTATCTCTCCCCCCCCCCAAGAAGTCATTTGAATCAATCCAAGGGACTGCAACTTTGCACCATCCAATTTTCTAAAGTTAGATTAATAAGATGAGAGAAAAGAAGTGGAAGAAAGAAGAAATTACTTCACAGCTACAAAACAAAGAATGCCTCAATTGAAATCTTATTATACACAGGAACAAGCTGATGATCAAAAACATCTATGATCTATATTTCACACTGAACAATTAGAGCTGTGGGATATTGCAGAATGTTCAAAGACTTCATACAAACTAGCTATGAATCATTTTCGGAGGAGCTTTTGGAATGCAAACTAAAGAACATGCACTTATCTTTCATGGCCTCAGCCTCAGTTCCATATTCTTTAAATCTGTATTCTTCCTTCTTGAAGGAAGATGGAACCTTTCCTTCACTATAGCATTGACTACACAGGCTGAAATGCAATTTCATCTCCTTGAAGCGGGATCCAATAATGGGGTAGCGGCATACCGAGCATGCATGCCGACCATGGCGGGTCCTGTCCCCATTTTCAAGCTTCATCAGAGTGGACATGATCCCAAAACCCCAATCAGGGTCATCAAACATCACAAGAAACTCAGGAAAGGAAACCATGGAATCATCTGCTTCTCCATGGATTTCCAGCATTTCACTGACCCCATCGGATGGGATATAGATGGCCCTCAACAATTTGATATACTTGAGAGCATCAGCTTTCTTGATCTGGGCACTGCCTTCATTCATAGGTCGCAGTGCATCGAATGCCACACGTTTCCGCTTGTCAGGAGCACCACTACAAATAGGAGCCACAACAGCATAGAACATACTCAAATCCACCCTACCTGAGCCTGCACCATCCAAGTCAGATAGAATCTTCTCATTGATGGCTTTTACAGCTCCTTGGAAAGTCTCTGGCTTCAAGAAACTGAGCAATTTTCGGAGAATTCCCTCCAGTGCAGCCTTGCGGATGGATTTCTCAGGAGCACCACTTCCTGAATAGGAAACTGGAACCTCCGTTTCAGTCATTTCCTTCTTCAGAACATCCACATTGCAACGGTTCAACCTAGTGAGCCTTTGGAAAGCCCTGATTGCAAGAGCATTTGCCAACTCCTGCCTCGTGGTAGTCTTCTGGCCCACTCTCTTAAACTTTGACAGCTCCACCACAAGAAAAGCGCTCTCCCCTTCAACACTTCCGTTCCCCTTGAACCTCTTTTTCTGCAGTTGTTTCAAATGAGCAATTGCATCATGTAGTTCAACCCTGTTTGTCATCTTGAAAGCCTCCTTTAGGGCTTTCTTGGATTCATCAGACTCTCCAGCTCCCAACAAGGACACAGCTTTGTTGAGCTGCGCCCGCCAATGATTTGGCCACACGACCAGTACCCTAGTATACATCTCCGAGGCTCTCTGATACCTTCCCATATCCATATAAAGCCCACCCAAATTGTATAGAGCGTCCAAATGCCCTGGCTTCAAATCAATGGCCTTCTGAAACTCCTGAACTGCCCTCTCGTCCTCCCCCATCGCATGCAAGGCCGAACCCAGATCGCAGTGTGCATCAGCATAATCCGGTTTCAAGAAGATAGCCTCCTCCAGTGCCTTCTCAGCGGCTCTATACTCTCCGACCCCGAAAAGCGCACTGCCAAGAAGCTTTAAAGCCCTGAAATGGGTCGGACAAAGAATCGCGGCCTCTCTGTAATGTTCGCAAGCACTTAAAACCATGCCTTCCCCCTCGAGAGAAATCCCGAGATTAACATGAATTTGGGGAAGAAGGTAAGCCCACTGGTTCCCACCGGCTTCAGCAGCCTCAAGAGCGAGCAAAAATTCCTCCTTTGCCTCCCCGTAGCTGCCAGTAGCATAGAGACAATTCCCTGCCCTGAAATGCGGCTTCACATCAGTCGGTTGAACCTCACAAGCTCGCTTGAAGCTCACCAAAGACTCTTTAAAGAGCTGGTGCTCGTACAGAACCCGACCAATCGCCATGTGCCTGTCGAAAGCTTCTTCCCTCGACCTGACCCCGTCGGCTTTGCTTCTCAAGACCCCTAATTCCTTCACGAATGCAGCATAGTCATGCCCGGACTCGTCCCAGAAGACTCTTTTCTCCGAAAGCTCCGAGGAGGGTCCGAATTCCCTAGACCAACCGGGGTCGGAGTAGACATCCAGATTGTCCCCTTTCATCTTTCCATCCTTGGCCTGCTTCGCTTTCAACCTCTTCACCAGAATTTCCAAATCATCGACTATCTTCCAAGTGTCGTCAAAGACGATACCATGGTTCGGAGACGCCGCCCATGCAGCAGTTCTCTGCTTCTTGTTTGACTCCACCATCCGGTCATCGGCAATCGAAGACGAAGAGGCTTCAGAAGGCAAGGAAGCTTTGGCGGCCTCCTGGTTGAGATCCAAACCGAGGGCATCGAAGTCACGGTCGACATCACCAGCACCGTCGTCGTAGGTCCGAAGAAGACCTTCATAAGAGAGACCCTTCTCGCCGTCGATGAACTCACCGTAGGTTCTAAAGACCTCGTCAAGGATGGCATTGATCTGCTCGTCGCTGAACTTAACCCTAGGGTTCACAGCGACGACGAGAGACGCCATTTCTTCTCTATTAAGGCCTCCATCTTTGTTCACGTCGACTTGCTGGAAAATTCGCTTCACCTTCTCTGCTCTGCTTCCCCTTGAAGCCATTTTTAAAAAGGTGATATTTCCTTAAGGGTTCTCAATTTTCGGGACAGCAATAACCAACAAAGAAGAGGAGATGAAGAGAGATGAAACAAGACAAAAAGGGTTTGAGTTTTCTCCTTCAGACTGAGAAGCCCAGACCCATTTGAGCACCGTCTCTCTCCTCTCTTACCCCCTCTTAATGTTTATTATTGTCGTGAACTTTTCTCTTTGGGGGAAGAGGAGTTTAAACTTCCAATTCAGAATTGATCTGTGAAGATGAGAAATAAAAAGAAAGGGGTGAATATGAGGTGGAAAGAACTTTGATCTCACTGGCGTTTAGGGGCTTCTGGCTGTGGTGGAGTTGAGTGATGGGACTGGGAGGAAGCCCCACGCCATGAGTGACGAGTCCATGTCCATCCACGATCTCTCTTCCCTTCCCTGTTGTGTCTCGTGTCGTGTCTTGGGGCCTCAGCCTAGCAATATTTGGCCGTGGTTGGATAGGCTTGTCTCATATAGAACATATATAGCCGTGTGGCTGTCAGGCTGTGGCCTACCCATCAATAATCTCTGCCCGCCGGTCTACGTTTTCTCACTAGTAAGAATTAAGAAGGCAGTAAATTTTCTCTGAGTTTTCCGGGCGACAGGCGAGGTATATAATGACTGAGCTCTCCACTCGTCGACGACAATCTTTCGTTTATTCACTTCTCCCCCTTCTATTCTAATACCTGCAGAAAGCAAGCTAAAGAAATGAGCTGGTTATGGAAAAGAAATGTTCAGTAACCCCATGGACAAAGTTCTCACTAAAAAAATGTTTTAACTTAAAAGACTGACGTAGAAATAGAAGGACTGGCTCACAGTCATAGTTATTAATAAACAATAAATGGGTTTCCCTGAAACGTGCAAACCTGATTCAGGTCGTTGTTTCTGACTCTCTGTGCGTGCCATTCTCTGCTTCACCATCGTATGTATGTATCTGGTTCATGCTTATACATGACTCAAAAAATAAGGAGTTTACAAATGTGTACGATTTTGTCAGGGCTTGTCATGGGCCAATACAGCTCAGGCTAAAGCAATGGCCCTCAGGCCTCAGTAGGGTCTAACCCACTCAATTATTAGCTACCGGTTAACACTGAACAGTGAACACTTGGCAAAGGCAAAGAAAGTAGAGATACCTAGAAAAAACATTATCACTTCATGTGATATTGTGATACACAATAATAGAACTGGAACATCTTTAGTGGGTTCTCCCATTAGGAATATATTTGGTCTGTCAAATTTGTCTCTTTTTTCTCAGTTTGCTCTTTACCATTTCTCTTGACATTGGTCCACAGCCACAGGAACGGAAAAACTTTGGACAATGTTTGATCACCCAGTTAACTCAATAATGTTTCACTCACACAAGCGACCAAACAGGTGAAAAACTACTACTGTGTTTTTTTTTTTTTTTTGTGGGCTTAGACTCCTGTGTCTATATTGGGTGGGGCTTCTGTTCTTATTTTTATTAATTTGAGTACAGATCCGTCATTTGTTGTTTATATCTGTCTTTTTACAAGAAAAAAATGGAAAGAAAAGGATTCTAATAATACAAACCTAAAAAAAAAATGAAGTGGGTTGCAGATAAAATAATATTACAAGTTGGTGGAGCCTTTAAAAAACTGTTTGCTAATTATTGAATTTGGTGGGTGATGAGTGAAGTCTTTTTGCCCAGAGGCATTCCATTGATCCTATTAAGCTTCTTCTGGCATTTTCTTCAAGTCCTATATTTTATTACAGATTAGGAATCGTGTGATGAGGAATTCTGGGCTTTAAGGCAAAGAGACTTTGGCAAACATTCTCGATTATAAAGGTCAGGACCCCAACATTGAATGACTCCACCGACCACCAAGAAAAAAAAAGAAGAAATAAAAAGGGAGAGAGAGAGATCAATGATATCACCCACCTAAGAGATCTGCAGAGATACAAGTAATAGAGGATTGGCTGATTATAGAAACTTGTTGTTGAAGTCCCAACAGAATTGAGGTATAATGTAGCTAAAAGTAATATGGTCAGATTTGTTTTCCTTCTAATTCCCTGCTTTTCTCTTTTTGGCTTGCTTTGGCATCTGGATTGACAAGAATGAAGAACCTCATTTAGTGGTGGGTCCTTGAGCTTAAAACTGGATAAGTTGAACAACATGGTTGGAAGGAATAATTGTTGATTAATTGCATATTGTAGAGGATAAAAGACATACCCCAAAGCAAAAAGAGGATATGGGGAGTGAGGGGATCCTAAAAGTTACTCAAGGCCTGCTGCTAAAGAGTGGTAGTGTTTATAAATGAGTGGCATCATGAGCAAGTTAAGAGAAATATATAATATTGGGTTGGAGGGTACGTATGGTGGTTCTTTTCTCTCTTTTTTGTTTGCCAATTAATAATATACTTCCTTGTAGGTACTTGACGAGGTCAAGGTGGCATCAGGCCATTCCCCATGCCCACAATCACTCCCAGAAAAAAATTCGCTCGTGCATGCTTTAAAACACGCTCTGGATGGATACATTAGTAGCATTGTATTAAATGCTTGATTTTTTTTAGGTTCAACTATGATATGGAAAAGATATTCCGAGAAACAACAAACTAATAAACCGGAATCATAAATGTAATAGCGAATAAGGTGTTATTTATTAAAATTCATGGGTGGGTTTTGATTGGTCAAAACTCTTTCCATGCCATATCTTTTTCGCGTCATAGATTTTCCTTTTTTTTTTCGAGTAAATATTGATTGTGACCACAAGGTGCCAATTGGCTGGTTGATAAGGTCTTCTAGTTGTAGTGGAGGCTTTGGAATCTGCCTATACCAAGGTTGGGATCATGGGTTTCGGGATGGGCTATCGGCTATCCCCTTGTGTAGCCCTGTGGAGTCAAAATAAAGTTGATTACTAGTAGGGACCCATGTGATTCATGGGTTTTATTTATAAGTAAAATTGAAGAAGGAGCTCTATAACATTTTCAATTAAATGGTGTCCATCTAAGTTCAATTAAGTATTATTTTTAGAGTTATGTTTAGTTTATCCGATCACATTCTAAGTTGTGCTTTAGTGAGAGTGGCCAATTTCCTATTTTCTAGATAAATTTTTATTATTCTTTATATTTTAATGCTAATTTTTATTGGCTTATTATTATTATATTTGTATTAGTTTTAGGTAAAATTATTAAAAAATCCTCTTACAACAATTCTATAAACCACACTTTGTGCTTTGACCCTAACAAAGGCCTCCCCTATAATTTTGAGAAAAAAAAGTGCAAATACATCCTTTCCCCTAGCATTTCGGTAACAAAGACATTAAAGTTACCAAAATACCCTTATCATTGTTGATGCATTATCATACATAATCTAAAGTTTCAACTTTACCCTCTACTAATTTAATTTGCCATACAACTTTCAAAGAATAATTCTCCTTACTCTTCTTGGACAAAGTAAGGTAAAAAGGCTGAAGTGAAGTAAAATTAATGCATTATATCAACATTTTTATTTGGAATGTTGACAAAAGGAAGGTATTTGCACCTTTTTTCCAAAACAATAGGGGAGGTTTTTTGTTAATGTCAAAACACTGGGGAGTTTCATAAGATTGCTAGAAAACCCAAGGAGGTTTTTATAATTTTCCTTATTTTTAAATGGAATTTAAATTGATTTTAAAATAATTAAACTATATTTAAAATTAATATTTTTTATTAATTTTTTAAATTAGTAAAAATTTAATTTATTTAAGTATATTAAGTTCTTATTAAATTTAAATTCCATATGAAATTTAAATAACTATATAAACTTTTATTTTTTAGTAGAAATTAAGTTGGTTTTAAATTAATAAAATTTAATTATAAAACTAATAATGGTTTGATAATTTTGAATACTTTTATATTAATTTTAAATTGATATCATTTTTAATTTATCTTATTCTTTTTATTAATTAAATTATTTTTATTATATTAATAAAATTATTTTTATAAATAGCAATAATTATTAATTATTTTTATTCTATTTAAGTAACTTACTAAATTATTTTTATTATTTTCAAATGAAATATAAATGGATTATAATTTTAAATGGAATTAGCTTATTTAGCACAATAATACATCATTGAATACCTTAATTTCAATATAAATTAATCTTTACTAATAATTGCACTTTAATGCAAATATATCTAATATATAAAGTATGCAAATATAGTTACATTGAAATGGATACATATAGATAAAGTATATGTTTGGAACCGTGGGCGTTTATTCACTAAACATTTCTACTTGATTTGTTTGCAAAATCGAGAAAAACAATAATAAACCCGTTTATTGACACTTAGGCGCCATTAGGCACTACATCAGCAAAATAGTGAATAAACGCCTACCCATTGGGAGAAGCATTAAAATGAAGTTTCCCCCAATGGTAGGCATGCACATAAATCAAGGCTTGCTTTTGCAAGTCTCTATGCATACAGATCCGTATAATGGGGGAAATGATAAAGTGGCGCTTATGTGGCAGCATTTATTCAATAAACACCCACGGTTCTAAACACACGCAAAGTTAATGTATTTTATGCAATTTAATGGAGTAATGGTGATGAGAGAAATTTAGTGGCATAATTAATGAGGAGAGATTATTAAAAGAGTTGATGGAAAAAGAGAGAGAGAGAGAGAGAGAGAGAGAGAGTTAATGGTGTATTAATAAAAAGTGTTAAAAAGTCTTAAAGGTGATTAGTCACTTGAGTTATTTTGTCCAATTTTAAAATTAGAAAATTCAAAAAAACTAGAAAAAAATATAGGTTCCTTTGAGAAGAAACTAGAAAAAAGATAAATGATTTGGCAAATTCCATTTTAATATATAAATATAGATGTGCCCATTAGTTGAAAGCTTTACGAAATAAGGACACTTGCATCCTTAAATTTAAGGAGCCAAGCTAAACTCATTATTCCCTTATTCTCCCTATTGACTTGGCAGCATGTTGCTGCATTTGCAAATGGAAGTGCAGGTGGTAACTAGTGGTTTTTACGTCTAGAACAGGTTTATAGGAAATTTGCCATAAAAGTGTTGGGTAAAACCAATATTCAAAGTATTGGAAATGCCAAATGCATCGAAAATATAATTTTAAGAGATGTATCGAAATACGCCTTAGATATGCATGCATATCGGAGAAAAAATAAGATATGCATAGATATACAAGAAAACACTATAAATACTTCCATAAATCATAAAAATACATTAATAACACTAAATTCATGGCCTTGATGAGGTGTACATACATTAAATATATTTTAATGGTATTATGAAGAAATACATCGTAGTCAATTATAATTTCATTAAAAAAACACATGCTTAATTATAATTCTTAATTTTTAAGGGATTGAAAAACCCAACTATATATTGGCACAACTTCTAAGTGAAAATATAATTAATAATTATTTCTTATTTAAATAATGACTATTTACTTTTTATTTTAAAAAATACAAAATAAATAAGCATTGTATAATATATTCTAAAAATAATTATTGAAGAATATATTTCAATTGCTCTATGGATATGATAGATCATCCATAAATCTATAATATATTCAATCCTTGTGACTAGATCATAAAATATAATTAATTATTAATTATTTTTTAATTCTAAAATTATAAAAAATTACTGAAAAAGAAATTCAATTGCTATATGGACATGATAGATAATCCATAGATCAAAAACATACTACGTCTTTATAGGCAAATAAAAAAAAATATGTTTTCAATTTTTTGTT